CCACCCAGTTCTCCCCTGTGGTTATATCTTACAAAACTATAACACAATATCAAAACCAGGAAATTGACATTGGTTCTGTGTATGAGTGTATAGTTCTATGCTATTTTATCACATTTGTAGACTCATGTAACCATCACAGCAATCAAGATACAGAAGTATCCCATCACTACAAAGTTCCCCCTAGATTTACCTCTTTAACATATGCTTGTCCCTCTACCCTGGCCCACCATCCCTAACTATGGAAATTACTAATCTGTTCCCCTTCTCTATCATTTTGTTATTTTGAAAATGTTGTACAGATGGAATTATACAGTGTATGACATTTTGAAATTTTCTTCACTCAGCATATTGCTCTTAAGAAAATAGTTTTTAAATTTCAGTTTTTGATTGTTCATTGCAAGCGTATAGAAATACAATGATTTTTGTATGTTGACCATGTATCTTGTGGCCTTATTAAATTCTTTTATAAGTACTCCTAGATTTTCTATATATTCTTTGAGATTTACCATGTAAACAATCATAATTGTCTGCAAATAAACACAGTTTTGTTTATACTATTTCAAATTGTATGCCTTTTATTTATTTTCTTGCCATATTGCACTGGCTAGGGTTTCCAATATATTGCTTAATAGATATGAGGAGAGAAGATATCCTTGCCTCAGTGTTTCAGCATTAAATATTATTGGTAAGTTTTCTGCATGGGTTTTCCTACCTCAATAGCTCTCATTCTAAAGGTCGGGGAACTAATGTGAGCTTCCCACTAACTTCTATACATTTGGGAACCAGTGAAATGACCACCAGGTGGGTCCATAGACCTAAAGGATCATTGTGGGATGAACATGAACCACCTTTTATTGCCTGGCCTCTGTAGCTCCTACTTTAACTAGGGTCAAAGTGACGTTTTCTTTTCCCAGGTATTAGAGATAGCTGAGAACCAACAAGCCCCTACAGATTGCAGTGCACAATTATTAAGTCAATTACTGAAGGTCCTTTTGGGGAAGGACTGGAGAATTACTGCTATTTATACCTACTGTGGTGTTACATGGTCCTTCCTCATCCAGACTTATCCTCACTCTCATTTTGAGAACTGGTGAGAAAATTGTTAAGAAAAATAAAAAGGTAATTAGCAAGGCAAAAGGAAAGAGATCATGACTTTCTATTGAAGTGGCTGATCTTAGTCTTGGGTCATTCATTCTTGATCTTTTTTCGTTATTCATCAAGTACCATATTCTTTTTTTTTTTTTTTCCTTTTTGTCCTTTTTTTACTGACCAGTAATGGGATCGCAACCCTCGGTGTCGCGCCCGTACCAGGGACTGGCAACAGGATCGCAACCCTCAGTGTTGCGCCCACACCGCACTCAGCCAGTGAGCGGGAACTGGTCTCCACATGGGATCCGAACCCTCGGCGGGAGCGCCGCCAGTGCGCCACCGGGCCGGCCCCATCAAGTACCATATTCTACTAGCCTTCTTCATAGACTCCTATAGGTCAGAACATGCTAACAACCCCCCTTGCATCCCCACCTTGCTGACCTACATGCCTTGCCCTTAAGGAGGCACGGACTGAGGGGGTATCTGCTTCATTTGATTCCTCTGCATAGTCTACAAGCGGTGGGAAGGGTGCTATCTTACAACAAGGGAAAAATGGGCCCATTATACAGGTTCTGTGGGTTTAGGAAAATCCAGGGTTCGAGGCTATATAGTACATCTACCCCGATATCCTCATCCCAGATCTGAAGGGACCATTCCTTCCATCAATTAGGCAGGAAGAATAATTTTTTTTTCTCTGAGATATATTCTTCAGCATGGTGAACAATATTGTATTGTACATAAAGGCCCTGACTTTTAGTAGGAGACTTACCAGGGCTAAGAATTCATCCTTTGGTGTAGTTCTACTATTCTTTTATGATTAGATCCTAAACCTAGTCTTTAGCATGATTAACCTCCCCAGCTACCTGAAATAAGAGGCTCTTTAAATATTAACAAGGAAGCTTTCTGGCTTTCACACTTAATTGTGACTGTTTGCTGTAAGCCTTCATTTTCAGCTAAGGGGTGCTTCTCAGC